GGGGGGGGGGGGGGGCGGGGAGCTTGGCGGGCCGCAGGGAAGAGCTCCGCGGGCCGCATGTTTGAGACCCCTGGTCTAGTCCAATAGGCTGTCTGTATTCCATATTCTTCAGTGAATAGTGCAAGAAATCCCATAATTGACAATTAAAGAATAACCTGTACAGAGATGTTTCTTCCAGGCAATCCGTGTTTGGTTTATGACGTGAAGCGCAAGAATTTATATTCCTATCTAATGTAACTATGGATATTGTTCATATAAATGTTTAATCCTGCTAAGCTTGTAGGCCAGATCTACATTGTAAACTTGTCACTAAGTCACAATTTAAAGCCCTGTCTTAGGAGAGCATTCCCATTTAGGACAGGATTTAAGCTTGTGCTTAAGTCCCATTGGCGTCATTGGGACCTACTTAAAAGTAAAGCCTGTGTTTCCTTTGCTGAATCTGGACCTAAGGTTAGTTGGTTGTAAAACTCCAGTAATGGAAGAAATGCTGACCTCTTGTGGAAACTTTCTTGAAAAGCATGTATGTTTACCTGAGATTTTTTTTATTAATATGCACAGTCCTGTGCATAAAAACAGTTAGTTTACTTCCTCCTGGTGCTATTTTGTTCTGGAAACAATTAACGTTAATAACCATGGAATGCCAGGGAAATGGCAGCAGCCCGAGGCCATGCACAGATTTTCCATGGTATGTGTTCCAAGTGGCAAACAATTTTGCGAACAGACGCAGGTCAAGCAGCGCAAAGATTTGTTTGCTGAATCCTTGGTGTAGTACGTCAGCTCACCAAAATCTGAATTGGTGTAAGAGCTTTTATAGTGGTAGGCAGTTAAGCCTAACCAGGGAGTCCTGTTTTTTAAAAATAACTGGCTTAGAACAAGCGAATTAAGGGGGATGGTTTCAAAACTAGGCACCTGAAATAATCAGTGACCATGAAATCTGTGCCAACAGGCAGTTGTTTTGTTGAACAAGAATGTTCTTATGGGTGCAGGTTACATGCTGGTGTTTGAAAAATGTGGCTGTAAGTGTAGTTTGAAATGGTACAATAATTTGTATATTTCGCCTTTCTTTCCAGGAAGGTGCTTTTGCCCTTGTGTTTAAAAGTGTCCATTACCATGGTCAAGCAGTTGGCACCAGGTAAAGATTGCTATTGTATCTCTCAATAGACAGTATTCCCCTTTTAATCACAATCAAAGCAAATACATTTTTAACCCCTCTCCCTTCTTGCTGATGATGGCTGGTGTATCAGTCAGAGGAGAGTAACATAGAGGATGCTCTTACTGCACTGTGTGAGAATCTGAATTTTCTGTGTTGCATACTTTTTTCTCCTCTTTCCCCCATCTCAGCACAAAATGCTTCAAAAGACCTCTTTTGGAGAAATACTTCAGTACCAGATTCGTGGTCAGAATCTCGCTTATACTCACATACAACTGGTCTGAAATAACCTAGGTCTCTTGGCTTTGGGGGGCATGCCACGAGGCAAATCGGGTTGTGAAGGCTGCTGTGGAGGTTGGCCTTGGAGAGAGAAGTCAGATTTGTGGGTCGGGGACTTGTTTTTGTAATGTATGGCAGTGGCACCTAAAGCCTTGGAGGGACACCCCCTTTATTTATTTATTTATTTATTTATTTATTTTTAATAAATTGGGCTACTTTGATTTTCAAGTGTATCATGCGAGTGCCTTAATAGGACCTCTAAATCCCACACTTAGACTTTCAAAAGCCAACCAAGAGATTTAGCCACACTGTTCCCATTAATTTTAACTCAAGTGTGGCTAAATCCCTAATAAGCTTTGAAAGCCTCAATTTTAGTATCTGCCATTAGGTGCATATAATGGGTAATAACCATTCAAAGTACTGGCTTGAGCATTCAAGTGCAGGATTTCAGTGCTCATATTAGGGATTCTGCCCCAGTTTTAAGTCTTTGTTGCTTTTAGCCTTTGCCTTCATATCTCATTGTCTAGCTCTGTTCCTGGAAAGGGTGAACGCTAACTTCGTATTTTCCTTTGGGGAAGATTAGTGTAACTGAGATCAGAATTTTGTCCTATATCTTGCAGCCTCCTTCACTTTCTTCACAATGAATTGGTTAATGAGATTCAGTAAAACAAGCTGGATGAGGTTAATTGGTTTAGATCCCATGGTGTCGAACAACAGTCCCTCAAGTTTAAGGTTTCTATGTTGAAGTTCCGTGTATCATCAGTTACAACTCCATGTTTCGTTTGCAGACGAGGAAGCCCCCTGCTGATTGGAGTTCGAAGTGAACACAAGCTCTCCACTGACCACATTCCAATACTGTACAGAACAGGTAAATTAGAAGCGACTTTCTCTTTAAGTTATATTGGTACACTATTTAAAATGATTATTTTCCACTGATTGTGTGAAGTTATTTTTCTTTCTTGTTACACTTTCAGCTGTGCAATCTATGGATCATTCTGTTGGTGGAATATCCATAGAAGCGGAGAAAGGTGCCTACTTGAGACATCCCTTTAATACTACAAGTTCTGCTGGTTTTTTCTTAGAAAAATAATTGAAAATAAGGGAAATTAGAACTGCCTCTTTAGTATGTGGTTATTGCTTTCCATGTAGCAAAATGAAACAAACCAGAAGAAAAGGATTTCTTCTTTATAGAACACCACAAATAAATACAAAACCCCCAACCTTTTACCTTTAAGTTTCAGTGTTCTAGTGATTCTGAACATGTACATAGTACATTGTGAGCGTTAACTTAACTAACTGATGTTTTAGGTATAGGTTCTTTCTTGAGTTCCATGCAGCATTATTCACTGCATGAAAGAGTGAATAAGTTTAAAAAAAAAAAAAAAAAAAAAAAAAGTAAAAACAATGAAATTAAACCCCATTGGAATTAGAAACCACTGTCATGCTGGGAAATCTTGTCACTGAAGCAGAACTGTGTTTTGAGCAAAATGTAGTTCATCTGATCTACAGCACATCATGGATACAATGAGGTTCGAATTGCAGCTTGGGTTTATTTCCCTTTTGCTCCTTGTATCCGGACTCTTTTTTTACAAAAATCTGTTTGTGTGTTTTGAGTTTGGGGTGTGCCTTTTGCTGCAATGATTCATTATTTATTAACAATCTAATCTGTTTTCTCAAGTACTCCATTTCTGTTTTAAAAATAACCTTTCACTTACGATCTGACAAAATGTTCAGCTAAATTAGGAGAGTTCTCTATTAAAGGAAAAGGATGGGGCGTGATACTCACCTGGTGTAAATCAGTAGGACTTCATTGTCAGTAGCATGTGGTTGCAAGAATAGTCATTTCAGTGGTTGAAATGTGTGGGCTTGTGCCAGTGGAGAATTTGAACCTCAATGCTATTGAAGTTCTTCCTGTGCCAGTAGCTCACCCAGGCAACCTTTTATTAACTACATCCCCTTGTAACCTGGGGACAACTGATTATTTGAGTGGACAGTGGCTACAATTATATTTAATACAAGCCAAAGGAGAGGTGGTGTGCAAAAGTTTGTTGTTCCACATGTTCAACAGGTTTCCCTGGAAGTTCGTGTTAATGGGTAAAAATTGCCTGCATCCCACGTTCAAAAGTAACATAAGCATTTAAAAACCAAAGTCCATTGACTTTAAATGGGACTTAGTTTCTTTGAAAATGTCTTTGACCTTTGACAATTTTACCCAAAGCCTCAAGTTAAAATAGAGGGGGAGGGGGAAATAACCCAGAACTAACCGAATTCTGGTGAAAGCGCAGCCTAATATTTGTGGTGTAGCACAGACCTAGAAGTACAGTGTGCTGACTCCACAAGGTGTTAAGACTTCATCGTTGCATAGGGCTGAATGTAATTTTATGTAGGTACGTCCTAATGGGATGCACATGCTTGGAATAGCGAGTGACCTCAATAAGATGGGAGGGTTTTGAAGCTACAGAGGCAATCGTGGACCAGGTGCGGTAGGGCTCCTAGTTATTTGAAGTGTAAGGAGTAGGTGATTTCTGCTTCCTTCCATCTTAGGGTACGTCTACACTACACGATTAATTCGAATTTAGCTAATTCGAATTTGGTAAACCGGTTGTATTAATTCGATTGTATGCGGCCACACTAAGCACACTAATTCGGTTGTGTGCGTCCATGTACTGGGGCTAGCGTCGATTTCTGGAGCGTTGCACTGTGGGTAGCTATCCCATAGCTATCCCATAGTTCCCGGAGTCTCCCCTGCCCATTGGAATTCTGGGTTTAGATCCCAGTGCCTGATGGGACCAAAACATTGTCGCTGGTGGTTCTGGGTACAGCCTCACCCCTCCCTCCCTCCCTCCCCCTCTCCCTGCATGAAAGCAACGGACGGCAGACAACCATTTCGCGCCTTTTTTCCTGGCTGAACGCAGCAGACTCCATACCACGGCAAGCATGGAGCCCGCTCAGCTCAAGAAAGCAGTCATGAACATTGTAAATACCTCGCGCCTTATCATACAGTTTATGCTGAACAAGAACCTTGAAAACCAGGCACAGAGGAGCAGGCTACAGCAGCGCGGCGACGAGAGTGATGAGGACATGGACATGGAATTCTATCGAGCCGCGGGACCCGGTGCTTTGGAGATCATGCTGTTAATGGGGCAGGTTATAGGCATGGAACGCCGATTCTGGGCACGGGAAACAAGCACAGACTGGTGGGACCGCATAGTGTTGCAGGTGTGGGACGATTCCCAGTGGCTGCGGAACTTTCGCATGCGTAAGGGCACTTTCATGGAACTTTGTGACTTGCTTTCCCCTGCCCTGAAGCGCCAGAATACCAGGATGAGAGCAGCCCTCACAGTGGAGAAGCGAGTGGCAATAGCCCTGTGGAAGCTTGCAACGCCAGACAGCTACCGGTCAGTGGGGAATCAATTTGGAGTGGGCAAATCTACTGTGGGGGCTGCTGTGATACAAGTAGCCAAAGCAATCACTGAGGTGCTGCTACACAAGCTAGTGACTCTGGGGGATGTGCAGGTCATAGTGGATGGCTTTGCTGCAATGGGATTCCCTAACTGTGGTGGGGCGATAGATGGAACCCACATCCCTATCTTGGCACCGGAGCACCAGGGTACCCAGTACGTAAACCGCAAGGGGTACTTTTCAATGGTGCTGCAAGCACTGGTGGATCACAAGGGACGTTTTACCGACATCAACGTGGGCTGGCCGGGAAGGGTTCATGATGCACGCGTCTTCAGGAACACTAATCTGTTTAAACGGCTGCAGCAAGGGACTTACTTCCCGGACCAGAAAATAACCGTCGGTGATGTTGAAATGCCTATCGTTATCCTTGGGGACCCAGCCTACCCCTTAATGCCATGGCTCATGAAGCCATACACAGGCAGCCTGGACAGGAGTCAGGAGCTGTTTAACTACAGGCTGAGCAAGTGCAGAATGGTGGTAGAATGTGCATTTGGCCGTTTAAAGGCGCGCTGGCGCAGCTTACTAACTCGCTCTGACCTCAGCCAAAGAAATCTCCCCATTGTTATTTCTGCTTGCTGTGTGCTCCACAATCTCTGTGAAAGTAAGGGGGAGACCTTTATGTCCGGGTGGGAGGCTGAGGCAAATCGCCTGGCTGCTGATTACGCGCAGCCAGACACCAGGGCGATTAGAAGAACACACCAGGAAGCAGTGTGCATCAGAGAAGCTCTGAAAACCAGTTTCATGACTGGCCAGGCTACAGTGTGAAATTTCTGTTTGTTTCTCCCTTCATGAAAACCAGCCCCCTTCATTCTCATTCATTCTCTGTAAGCAACCCACCCTCCCCCCAGCTTTCTTTCAAAGGTAATAAAGTCACTATCGTTTAAAAATCATGTATTCTTTATTAAGTGATTATGAACATAGGGAGA